ACAAAAGTGCAAATGGTGTTAAAGTTGAACTTTCTGAAGATGCAAGAGCTGGTGTTAAAGCTAGTAGTGATTGGGTTATGGATAGTATGAATAAAGGAACAGATAGTTATGGTGTTACTACTGGTTTTGGTGCTACTTCTCATAGAAGAACCAAGAATGGTGGTGCTCTTCAAAAAGAACTTATTAGGTAAACCACTTTTCATCTACTTAACTTTGCTTTTTCCAATAAAAAATACTAGAGTCGGACCCAGAATTTGAACGTAGTGACAGGGGCATAATATTTTGTTCAATCAGTGTCTCTTAAAGATTTTTATCGTTCAGAGTGTTAAATAATTTAAATTAACCATTTTCAAGGTATACGTATATTATATACCGTTAAGGAATTTTTAAACTGTCACTGTAGAAGGTTATTTAACGTTATTTTTACGTTATTCATTTCGCTTATAGTAAGTAGTTATATGTAGTTATCTTTTAGATGATTGTGAATTTATTTTGTGTTGATCATGTATAGTAATAGCTAAATTCTTATTCTGCAAGAAAATCTGATTAGTATTTGTGAGTTAATGATCTACTATTTTGAGTTAATAGCTATTAATGATATACTTATTTGACCTTACAAAAAGAATTATCTATTATTTTTGAGTCAATAGTTATTAATGATTTACTTTAAGTCTTATGTCAACTAATCTTTTTGCAAGAGGAAATGAGTTTTAAGATATCAATTTATAAGGTAAAATGTGTACATTTTCTATGTAATCTAAACCATTATAGCAGCTATATTTCAATTTATTATATCCGATCAAATATAAAGAGTTAGTACTTATTATTATAGAATAATATAATCTGGTACTATAAATATTCCTTATTTTATCATAGTAGAGATGATAAAGTTTGTATGTTTACATCTTGAAATTTGAATTATTGAATAAAGAAAAATATTAAATAGTTCTTGGAAAAATATTTTATATTGGAACTTGGTACGAAGTACATGAATTTTGCATCTACATCTATAATTATTTGACTTATGTGGGGTTGGAAAAAGAGTGTGTGGTAGGTGGGGGGTCATTTTAGTCATTTCACCATCCTTCTAGTTTTGTACAAAGTACATGTTAGAATTTACTCATTAAATTTTTCCTACTACTTTTTTCCTAAATTAGAAAGAAAATATAATTCAAATAAACATCTTTAACTAGTTAATTTATTTTTGTGGGTCCGCAAATAATAGATGAGAGACAAGTGGGCTTATTTAAACAGTTTAGATTTCCAACTATTTGGGTCGAATCCCATGTGCTGTCTCTTGTCAGATATCTATTTATTTTAAAGCACAAATAATTTTGATAATTTTTAAAATAAATGTTGCATAAAAATAGTTATAAATAGGTAATTTTATACTTATTTAAAGAGAATTGATAAAATTGTTATGAAATTACAATATAACTCTCAAATTTTCACTTTCACTTTTATTTTTGGGCCTAATTTACTTTTAGTTTGCGGCCGAAACTATTTACATTCGGTAGTCGCAAAAGTGTATAGACTTTGTATATTTTGGTATATAACATACAGAAAAATTATAGATCTTTTCGGCTATTATTTTGAGAACAGCTATAAAGCGTCATTTTCCCTTTTTTTCATTTTTCCCTCAACCTACCCAGAAGGCCAAAATATAACAAATGTGTGCCACACTTTAAAGGGTCCTTATATCACTTAAAAATGATGGGAGATGATGTAACACACTACTAGTTTTTCATTTTTTTTAAAGCCGTATAATTCTTGATCTATATTATATAGTCAAACATCTCTGTAACAGTCGCATTTGTTCCGATTTTCCGATGCTATAGTGAAGCAATATTATAGAGGATATATATTATAACATAACATAAAAGATCGGTTTCCGAGAAAAATTGGCTTTATACATATGTTGTTAACACATGTTCTTATTTACATTTGATTGGTATAATTCAGTTCAATATCTAATCTAGCTGACATTGAATTGGCAGGTTCTTGAATGCTGGTGTTTTTGGAAATGGAACAGAAACAAACCACACATTGCCACATTCAGCAACAAGGGCAGCAATGCTTGTAAGGATCAACACACTCTTACAAGGATACTCTGGCATCAGATTTGAAATCTTGGAAGCAATTACAAAATTGATTAACAGCAACATCACTCCATGTTTACCTCTCCGTGGCACGATCACTGCCTCGGGCGATCTTGTCCCGTTATCCTACATTGCTGGTTTGCTCACTGGTAGGCCTAATTCCAAAGCTGTTGGTCCCAATGGTGAGACACTTAATGCTGAAGAAGCGTTCCGCGTTGCTGGTGTTAATGGTGGATTTTTCGAGTTGCAGCCTAAGGAAGGACTTGCTCTTGTAAATGGTACAGCAGTTGGTTCTGGTATGGCATCAATGGTTCTCTTTGATTCCAACATTCTTGCTGTTATGTCTGAAGTTTTATCAGCGATTTTCGCTGAAGTAATGAATGGAAAGCCCGAATTCACTGACCATTTGACACACAAGTTGAAGCACCACCCTGGTCAAATTGAGGCTGCTGCTATTATGGAACACATTTTGGATGGAAGCTCTTATGTGAAGGCGGCTCAAAAGCTACATGAAATGGATCCTCTCCAAAAACCAAAGCAAGATCGTTATGCTCTCCGAACATCTCCACAATGGCTTGGCCCTCAAATTGAAGTCATTCGCTCTGCAACTAAGATGATTGAGAGGGAGATTAACTCAGTGAACGATAACCCCTTGATCGATGTTTCAAGAAACAAGGCGTTACATGGTGGCAACTTCCAGGGAACCCCTATCGGCGTCTCCATGGATAATGCAAGATTGGCTCTTGCATCAATTGGGAAATTGATGTTTGCTCAATTCTCGGAACTTGTCAACGACTATTACAATAACGGTTTGCCATCTAATCTCACCGCATCAAGAAATCCAAGCTTGGACTATGGTTTCAAGGGAGCTGAAATCGCGATGGCTTCTTACTGCTCAGAACTTCAATTCTTGGCAAATCCAGTGACCAACCATGTCCAAAGTGCTGAGCAACACAACCAAGATGTCAACTCCTTAGGCTTAATCTCAGCAAGGAAAACAGCTGAAGCTGTCGATATCTTGAAGCTCATGTCATCAACTTATCTAGTGGCACTTTGCCAAGCTATCGACTTGAGACATTTGGAGGAAAACTTAAAGAATGCAGTCAAGAATACAGTTAGCCAAGTAGCTAAGAGAACTCTTACAATGGGTGCTAATGGTGAACTTCATCCAGCAAGATTCTGTGAAAAGGAATTGCTTCGAGTCGTGGATAGGGAATACTTGTTCGCCTACGCTGATGATCCTTGCAGTTGCAACTACCCTTTAATGCAGAAACTGAGACAAGTTCTTGTTGATCATGCAATGAAGAATGGTGAAAGTGAGAAGAATGTGAACAGCTCAATCTTCCAAAAGATTGGAGCTTTCGAAGACGAATTAAAGGCTGTTTTACCTAAAGAAGTGGAGAATGCAAGAGCTGCATTGGAGAGTGGCAACCCTGCTATTGCTAACAGGATTACAGAATGCAGATCTTATCCATTGTACAGGTTTGTGAGAAAGGAGCTTGGAACAGAATTGTTGACAGGAGAAAGAGTCCGATCACCGGGCGAGGAGTGTGACAAGGTGTTCACAGCAATGTGCAATGGACAGATCATTGATCCAATGTTGGAGTGTCTCAAGAGCTGGAATGGTGCTCCTCTTCCTATCTGTTAGTTGTTTGCTTGATTTCGCGCGACGGGAACTTTTGTTAATGTTTGTCAATGCTATTTTTCAGATTCTTTTTTTTACTCTTTGGTGAATTACTCTCATAATATGTTGTGAACTTATAGTTTTTTGGTTAGCTTAAAGAGTGTTAAAACTCTTTTAAATATGTTGGATTGTAGCTGTATATGTCTCTTTTCAGTATAAACTTAATGAAAAGTGACAGTGTGCTTAAATCTTCCTGGCAATTCTTCTTCTATTCAATCTGTTCCTCTTCTTTTTCTCTTATTAAAATGGATCAGGGAATGTTCAGTAAGCATATGGTAAACATGGCAATTCTTCTTCTCCTATATTCCCTTATGTTACTCTGTCTTCTTAAAAGAGTAGAATACTAAATATTTAAAACAAACTATAAAGGGATATCTCATGATTTCCAAATAAAAGGAATATAAATTGATGAAATTGACGTTAATATGTCTGAAAAAATGATCCTAAGCACAAGGTAAACATGGCAATTAAAAAATTACAACACCCAAACAGAAAAATCGTCTATACTGTTATAATTAGTATAAAATCTGTAATTTAGCACAAACTCATTAGGAAAAATCACGAATGTTATATTAAAACAATTTTCAGCTACTGACGTAAGAAAGAAATAAGTACAATATTACATTACCAATGAGGAGACAAAAGCCGAGACATTAAAAATCTTAAAACGTCATGTCCGTCACTTTAGGAAAGTCCCATTCATGTCAATTATTTGATTTTTTTTCTTCTAGAAAAGTTAAAAAGAAAAGAGAACAATATAAACATTTCTCGTTTTGCACTATACTTGACTAGTACTTCTATCGCGTAATATTAAACTAAAGAAATTATGACAATTTAGTCAAAGTTAAGAACAAAGGAAAGACAATCGGTATTCGGTACTAAAAGCACAATGTGTACTGGTAATGCCGTAATGGTATATACTTGAGACCTGTATGTATGTCTCATAATTCTTTTAGTAGGTTTAACAAAAGTCAGTTTCTTTGACATAAGAAATTAACTCACTTTCAACTGGCCTGAAAACATCTGGTATAGGTAAATTTTTCTTCCTGAACTGGCCGTATCGCGGCCAGTAGCATAACAGATCATGAGGCAGCCCACTGGTTCTCATCTTAACATGTACGAAATATGAATCGATCATCGAGTAAATGCTTTTCTCTGACAGTATTTCAGCAAAATTCTGTAAAAAACAGGCAATTTCATGCCTGTTAGACCAAATATTCAAATGCATGAAGCTATTATCTTTTGAAACAAAAAGGTGAAGGCCAAAACTTTACATGTATAGTGCTATATGCAACAAATGGACTCAGGCAACTAAGTTTAAAACCTACAAGAAAACGTTACCCAGTGCCAGGGGTTCCTAGAAATTTGACAAGCTACCATTCTAGAGATCAACCAAAAACCTAATAACACTATATATAGAGCAAAGTGACCAAATATATTGTCTGTGCTAACCCAAGTATTGTGATTCACCAAATCTGTTCGCCAGCTGATTAAAAGTTCAGTGTCACAGCTGCAACAGGCTGGAATTCCAAGAATTCATTGTTGACAGTGGTCTAAAATGTCTCAGGTGCGGAGCTGGTGCCCTTAGTACACAGCCTGTTCCAGGGCTCGCCGCATAACTAAAAGTTTGGATCGAGAGTTGACTTGGAACACTAGTCGGTAAAAATGGTGTGAGGATGACAGGCTGCAAGTTTCGTGTTGGGGTCATAGGTGAACCACGTGTCGGCAGATTAGCAGAGGTTGTCGTTTTCCGGGTGACCCTTGCACTTATTGGCGGAACTGCAGCTGACTCTGTCACTATAGGCAATTCAGCATTTTGAGATGGAATGACAGCCATTGAAAAATTCTGAGAGGATATTTGATGGTCCCCAGCTCGCTGCTCGGAGTTGACATGTTCAGAAACTAAACTTGGATACTTCAGAACATCTGATGATTGACTTGCTGGTTGTGTTGATGCAGAAATCACTGCTGGGTCACTGCTGGGTCACTACTAGGTCGGCTTGGTGATGATTGTCCAGTTCCTGTAATACATATTCGGAAAGCACACATTAAGGATATTATTAATAAAACTAGACATAGTAACTGAGAGACAGGAAAATGCCAAAATTTAATCGAGTTTGAAAGTAAAAGAGCTTGAGATGTTATTTATCCTATTATATTTCACATTTATATCCTCAAAGCAATATTAATACTAGAAAAGTACAGGCCGTCTGTATGGACAAAATCAGACCAGAGGAAAAGGAGGAATATGCTACTAGTAGCTTTATTTTTGAAAATGTTGTTCACTGTTTAAAAGTGTAGTTGAAAAAGCTTTGACTCCACTAACAGATTGATCAAAGTGCCGTTCTTGTCAAGCGTATGTAACTGCAGTTACCATCATTAATATTAAGTAAAAAGTTAGAAAAATGCATACCTTCTGTCATCTCTAGTGACCAAGCAGTATTTTGTATCTGGGTCATGGCTTCAGCTAGTAACTTATTCATATGCACTTTGTTGTAGAGTGTATCAAGATCTTTGTGCTTTTGAACTAATTCTGTGTCAGCAATCTCAAACAGCAAATCGTACTTCTTCTTTATTGCATCTAGCTCTTTTTCATATTCAGATATCAGGAGCAAATTCTGCATAAAATTTTATAATGAAAATTTCAGTAATCTTTGCAATGGGAAGCATTATTATGTTTTAAAATTACAAAAAAAAAAATAATAATAATAATAAATCAAAAGGACACAGAAATGAACAAGAAAGGGGCACAGGTCAGACGGACAAACCAGATTTTCATGCAATTTTGTAGTTTGTTCTCTCTCCTTTAGTATCCTCTCCATCTCCATTTGAAGTGGGTATGAGCAAGGGGATTGAAGCAGCTCAGATGCGTCTGGAGAGGCATCAGGACGACATTGATATTCCTGGCTGTCTCTGCTTCTCATACTCGCATCGTTTCCTGCACCTATACTCGTATGCTGTTGCAGTGGCAAATTTCCTGCAGACCGCTGAATAGAAGAGTCTATTGGCAAATTCGACTCCTCTGGCTGAAGGTCCATGAAATCTAAAACCTGGTGACTGGAAGAATCAATACAATTCCTATGGCTCTGGTGATTGTCAGTGAGCACAAATGCATGAGCTTGATCACGGCCAGTAGAGGTGGGCAAATTGGAATCTGGCGGCTGAGGTAGATAGAAGAAAGTTTGAGAAAACAATCAAGTGTCCAATCTGATTCAAGAAACTTCATGGCACCAATAACAAAGATGAAAGTTCATTCCATTGATAATAGAGGTGAAGAAAATGAAACCAGCACCGCGAGATAGATTGTCAGACGGAAACATCTTGCCCAGTGCATATAAGGGACCACATCCAACATTTAGCCACATTCTAAATTCTCTTACTACGGAATATCTAATTAAAATTTATGCAAAAATGTTTTAGATAAGATGCTATGAGCACATGGTGGGATCATAAATTTCATATATTTCATGATAAAGGCAATATTTTTCATAATTGTCTGGCATAAGAAACCCCCTCTCTACCTTATAAGGTAGGGGTAAGGTCTGCGTACACACTACCCTCCCCAGGCCCCACTTATGGAATTACACTAGGTTTGTTGTTGTTGTTGTTGCTGGCGTAAAAAACTATGAAATTTCAACATTTTGTAAAACTTCGACAACTTTTACAACTTGCACAATCTCTTGATGTTAATATTTCTTTTATTGAGAATATTACCTTTCCTCTGGTAAAATTTTACCATACCTTCCCTGGTGTAAGTTTTGCAGAGTCATCCAGTAACTTAGCCCTTGATGAACAAGCAAGAGGAGAATTTCATTTAATGCCAGATCACAAGCTAGAGGCCACTGCTTCATTCATTCAAAAACTGATTTCTCATGTTACTTGTTAGAACTTAAAACAATTTCCAGATGCATTTTGGAGAATATTTCAGGAAGTGAAAAAGAATTCAGGAAGATATCCCCGCACCTGATTTGATTTCATGGAAATACTTTCTTTTCGATGCTGATCAGTCATGGTTAAGCCAACTCCGGACTGAACCTTGTCAATAGCTGCTCTACCTTGCCGGTCAATATCGCACTGCGGACTGGGATTAGTCACAAGACGCCTGGATTTATACTTATTACCAGCAGAAAGATGAGACATCCCTAGAAAATGAGTTTGGCATCAACAAGCAAATATGTCAGTGTCTGATGATAAAGGAGAATTAATGGATACAAAGATATAACATAGGCACTGCATTACCAAGTTTGTGTCTCTTTCCCTGGACATGCAATTTCCTTTTCGTCCTTAACTTGGGTTCTGGAGTAAGATGAACTTTATTGCCCTCTTTCCTGCCTTTCTTTTCAGAAACTTGTTCCCTTTCGGATGGCTGACACAAATCAACCCGGGGTCTAACTTTCCTTCTAATCCCTTGTGATAGTATAGGCAAGTGTTTCCACCTACGAACCGTTCCATGTAACAGACTTGTCCAGAAAACGTTGGGAAGTTCATTTGTCATTCCTCTCACAAAAGAAGAATCATCCATCAGTTGCATTTCCACTTCACCAAGTAGAGATATATTTCTTGGATAAGTCCCCCCATTCTGCTGCACTTTCAATATCTTTGAACAGCTGTCACTGTTCTCACTGTTACTAGACATCAGGCCTAACAATTCAGCACAGACATCATCTAAAGCAGCAATGTCAGACGATCTTTTTGATTGTGAAGATTGTACATGGAAACAATCAAGCATATTGAAAAGATAAGAGGCACCCCAAGTTAGCAGCTCATGGAATTGTTTTATATTCTCTATGTTGCTGTCAATTGTCATACCTTGCTTTGCAAGAATGAGCGCTTTCTCTTCAACAGTAAAACATGAATATAGACGGAGTACCTTTATATGCTCCAATTTTGAATAAATTGCAATCTTCTGCATGGATCTTAAATCATTAGTTGGGTCCCAGTCACTGTTAAACAAAATAATTGTATCTATTCTCGAAAGCTTGACGCTGGGAGCACAAACACGAGTCTCCATCAAACAAGCAAATTTCCCACTTCCCTCGTTGTTGAAATTGTTCAAGGTAGCTTGCTTCAATTTACGACTGAATTCCCCACTAATGCGTGTATAAGAATCCTCACCAATTTTCGATGAATAAAATCATCCAAGATGTCCCCGATGGAAATAACCCCCGAGCCACCAAGAGACTGTAACATAAACAACTTAGCATCATACGAAATTACGAATATTAGCTAGCAAGGCAATAAGAGAGACATAAAATAAGTTTACATGTATGTTAGAGCAAATCCGACAAAATACAATCAATCTCCTGAGGGATTTATACATTCACAAATAACAAATAAGAAAGAATACACAAGAGAGCTCCTAGAGGCACCAATAATCATTTATATGGTAGCATCCAGTCAATTGGGAATATCAAAGACACATATGGAAATCAGGAAGGAACTAAAACGAAAGAAAATTTTGAAGAAGTAAAAGCAGATACCCGAAAAAGAATGAGTACTCTTTGTCCTTGCTGTTTGATCTCATGAATAGAGGAATTCCAATTTTCCACTTAGTTTAATTTCAGCATCAAAGTGCTGATCTACAGGAATGCCTTCTAGAACTATGTCTCGCAGAGACTGGTCTTCGAGGTAAGGGTGATCACAACACTGAGAACAAAAATGAAAGTCCAAGTCAGAGATATGGTGATATGTCACTTACAATAACTGAAGGTTTTACTCTTAAAGACAAATTATTGGAAGCTGAAAACAGTCAAAACAAGTCGAACCTTCCTGGTAGATACAAGTATGTTATGGAGGGAATTTGGTGAGTCATTCTTCCAACGTGAGCAAAGCAAAGCTGAATTCGAAGAGAGGCAATCGCAATATTGCTCAATTTGTTCATTGGAGAGTTTGACTGGAACCCAGTACTCAATGAACTTGGATGTGGAGGAGTTGCACTCATATGCAACAAAGCGCTTTAATCTTTCCTTGAATTCAGTTAGGTCTATGTTGGGATCAGTGTCCGACAGATCATTGTTGGCCTTGTCATACTCAGGATCAAGTAAAGAGAGAACATTACTGTGATTGAACCCTCTATCACATCTACCCTGATACATTTAGGAAAAGTAAGTTGCTGCAGATACTTGGGAATCTATACAGAATAGAAGAATTCAAACCTCTAGTTGCCGGAAAATAAGCAATCTCATATCAGAAACAAGCACTTTAATTTGTGAGAGAAGCATTGACATGGCATAACCCTGGCACTGATCTATAATTACTGCTCCCCAGCTTATTGGCTGAAGCATTTCAAGATCCTGCATAAGGATAGCTATATAAAGATCAGAAACATATTGCAGCGTATCTGCTCCGCCACTTATGGATTTAAGCATTTCAAGATCCTGCATAAGTGTTGAGAAAATGGACCTTAACACAACCCCAAACGCTAGCCCATGAGGTGAGGATTGCCTAGTACCATATAAGCAGACAATAGCTCAATCAACCAATGTGAAACAATCTAACATCCCCACACACACACGGCTGGACATATATAGAATGGACAATACAACATGGGAGCCCAATATCGGATAAACTAAGAATAGAAATGGGTTGCTCTGATACCATGTTAAGAAAATGGATCTTGGACCAACTCAACCCAAGGTTAGCTCATCCGATGAGGATTGCCTAAATCTATAAAAGGAGACAATAACCTATTCCATAAACCAATGTGGGACAATCAAACAATAAGGATAATGCTATATGTAGATCAGAAAAAATTATTATCTTGTATCTGCCTCCTAACTTATGGGTTTAAGCATTTCAAGATCCTATTAAGGATAAATGCAGCATTTCAAGATCCTGCGGAAGGATAAATGCTATATATGGATCAGAAAAACTATTATTTCAAGATCCTGCGGAAGGATAAATGCTATACATGGTCAGAAAAACTATTATGCCATATTAATGTGACTGAAAGTACAATGCATTGTAATTAGTTCAAGTGGGATACAACATTCAAAGAGATCAGTACTTGAGAATTATGATATGAATAATTCATCTCTCATTATATGCGATAAGGCAAACAAATGAAAACGAAAAGAAGTTTACCTGAACAATAGCATCATAAGGTGACAGAAGAACCTGAAACATAATGGCACCTTGTTTGTTGTGAAACTCGAGTGTTCTTATAATGGCTCGTATATCTTTATTACCTTTGTACACAACAATGTTAGCAAGCCCAATGTAAGAACTCAGCTTCCCAAAGAGGAAGTTCAGCAGAAGTTGTGATTATGAGAAACGGCAAACCAATATCCTTCGGCAAGGATAATAGAAATAAGACCACCTTCAAAATCCGCTCCTGTAAATTCCAAACATTGAACAGTTCAGCTCCAGTTAAATATTTAGACTCAAACGAAGCTGCATCAGGCATTTATATAGGTAAAAATCTTGGAGGATCACATTACAACAAAAGAAAAATTGGAGAATCATCGGCAAGCTTGAAAATCAGTGTATCAAAATTTATGATTGACTTGGAACGCAATGGAGGTTCAGCAAAATTTCAAAGGCTGAAACCTCTGGAGCAAGCAAAGGAAAAAGTTAAGACAGCAGGGGCTACAATCTTGCTAATGTGCTAATTGGAACTTTAGATAGACTTTGGCTGCACAGTTGTAGCTGCAAAGAGGACGTGTGCATTAGAAAGAGAATTATGAATGAAAGAATAACACAAGCTTTTTTCTTTTCTAAATTAGTGTGTGAGTACGTGTATATACAGTACGTTTGCACATAGATAGAGTTGGAAAAGCAATCATCCACCTGGTCATCAATGACGACAGCACTCTGACCCTTCTGCCAATATTTACGAAGAATGTTGATATAAGTAAGATGATTATGGACCTGAGGCGCGCTTCCAAATAGAGGTCTCGGCAGTTCTTGAAAGTCGGCTTTTCTTTTCTGCAGGAATATTGAAAAAAATGACTTCACTTAGGCTACCAAATTACAAACATAACGCGTTGGCCAGTTTACATTTTCCCCTTCATTGATTACCATAATGAGGAAGAAGCTTCAGAAGAAAAATACTTTAGGCAACAACAACAACACAACAACAAACCCAGTGATATCCCACAAAGTGGGCTCTGGGGAGGGTAGAGTGTACGAAGACCTTACCCCTACCTTACGAAGGTAGAGAGGTTGTTTCCGATAGACAAGGCAACAAAAATATATTTCTGAACACTTATAAAGAGAACGAAATACTAGATAACTACTTTGATCTGTAAAAGTTACTGTTCCAACTTATATGGAGTTTCAGAATGGATCAAGGTCGATTCAATTTCCAGAATAATGAGGACATGCAAACTCTTCCAGGATATCCTCTATCAAATATGAGACTAGGATTAGGATGAAAACTAGCAAGATTGCATCAAAATTGCAATTTAAACAAACCCTCAAGTATCATTTTTAAAAATAATCAATTTCGTTAAGGAGAAGTCAAGTCATGCGTCGCTCACAAATCTACGTAAACGAACTGAGAAGTCTCAAATATTCTTAAAGATGACGTTAACACATTGGAATTCTAACGTAAAATTGGAGAACAAATATTCATAGTTTTGAGCATCTGCAACACTTCATCCGAAGATGTGCTTCTCAACAAGGCAAACATCTATGTGAAAGTTATATATATAACTAAAGAAACATTAATATAATAGCAGCATCAAAAGCAATTTCAGTAGAAGCAAGTTTCATGAATTTAGTGTGTGTGTTTGGTTGGGAGCCCCGAGGGCTCGGGAGTGATTCGGAGGTGGTTCGGGGTAGTTTTACACTTAGAAAACACAACAGATTTTTCATGTTGTTGCAGACCAGATTTTGTTCTTCGCGAACGCAGCCCCCCCTTCGTGTTCGCATAGCTCTGACATTTGTCCTTCCGCGTTCGCGTCCCTCCATCGCGTTCGCATAGCCTTATACCCCTCTTCAACGCGTTCGCATACCTCCCCTCGCGAACGCGTAGGCCAAACCTGCCCCCCCCCCCGTCTAGTTTCCTTCTATGCGTTCGCTTAGCACAATCGCGAACGCGTAGAGCATCAAACCAGCCCTCCTTCGCGAACGCGAGACTGAGTCGCGAACGCATAGAACAAAAAGGCTTCAGTGATTTTTTTAAAAACAGAACATTTCATTACGGGAATTCTTCACTTCTTCTCACGAGCTCTCTTCTCCATCAAGCCTTAGGACTCCATTGAAGCTCCCCTCTTCCAAGACTTTTTGGGTAAGTAATTCCCCACCTAATTCCTTCACTTTTCTTCACTAATTAGTGAATTCCTAGGCCTAAAAACATGAAATCAAAGTAGAAATTAGGGGTTTTGGGGTAGAGTTAGGGTTTTAAGAATTTTAGGTGATTCAACCTCAATTTGGAGTCGAATCTTAAAACAAATTATATATTTGAACTCGTGGGGTTATGGGTGATTGGGTTTTGGTCCGAGCCTCGTGTTTGGACCATGTGGGACCGGTGTCGAATTTTGGTGTTTTTGGAAGAATGATAGGAATTTCATTTCTAGGCTATGGGATTATGTTTTTGAGCCCTTATTGATATTATTGAACTAATTATGCCTAGATATCATTGTTTCGGAGTTGGATTGTAGAGGAAAGGCGGTATTAGAGAGTTGATTGCTATTCTTGGACCGAGGTAAGTGTTTGTTCTAACTTTGACTTGAGGGAATAGGTTTAGGATATTATTTGCTACTTGCTAAATGTGGAGTACGGTGTATAGGCATGGTGACGGTTATCTATACACCGGAGTCTAGCATGACCGTGAGTCTTAATTGCTTTTAATTCGAATGATGTGACACAACTTTCTTGTTTAATTGATAAATTTCATATAATGTGATAGTTGAGAAAGAAGTGATTTAAAAGAGGATGTGTTGTGATTATTCCCTTGCCGGGGCGTGTAGACTATTATTATGTACTCTCCCTTGCCGGGATATTTGGGCTGTTAGTTGTACCTTTGCCGGGTTAAAGTGTTATGTTGTCGAATTCCCCTAATGGGGCCTTCTTTACAAAGTCAGATATTTTGAACTATAATATGGGATCACCACTTATATATATAATACGAAATGGGATCGTGTGGCACGCCGACCACTTAGATATTATGAAATGGGAGCGAGTGGTACGCCTACCACGTGATATTATGAAATGGGATCGAGTGGTACGCCTACCACGTGATATTATGAAATGGGATCGAGTGGTACGCCTACCACGTGATATATGAAATGGGATCGAGTGGTACGCCTACCACGTGATATTATGAAATGGGATCGAGTGGTACGCCTACCACGTGATATTATGAAAATGGGATCGAGTGGTACGCCTACCACGTGATATGAGGAAATGGGATAGTGTTGCACGCCTGCAACGAGAGGAAATTGAAACAAGTGAAAGTGGTTT